AGCCAAAAGTATGATTTTTATCTATGGCAACGTTGAAGACTGTGATCAATTTTTATCTTGTACATTCAACCGGGAAGATTACCCAGATGAGGTTCCATCGGATCAAGGTTCGCAGTTCATGGCTGCAGCATTTGAAGACTTTTTGAGCTAGCATGAAATACGTTGCAGCTCGTCTGCTATTACCCTCAATTGATTGGTTAGGTTGGGCGGTTCAACAAAGTCCTTAAAGGGCAACTCCGGTCCATACTTTCGATTTTGGGATTATGGCTGTTTTTAGTGCTGTTAGCGCCCCTGAATTGCAAGGTGTAATTTTTTTCTCGTTATTGTGCGTAGTTTTTGAAGATATCGACGTCTCAAAGTTTTGTTTGGGGCGCGGCCGACAAAACCGAAACTAGCCGCTCGAGGTTCCGGCAACACTGAAAATCAGCCGCTATGTGAACGTGACGTCAAGATCGTTCTCGTTCAACAAGTACGCAGTCCAAGCGGCACCTAGCTCTGTTTGCTCTAGCCGTCTAAAGATAGAAGGTAAGCTGATTTTGTTTTAATTCTGTATACGTGGTAGTTATCGAACATATGTAGCAAGAGTTAGTGCGCATACCCAAAAGCTAGCGACTGGAAAACCCGTCAACTCGTTCCGTGCCGTACACGGCGGCCGCCGCCGCGCGTGCGCTATGCCGTGCCGTACTCGTTGCTTGTACACCCAAAAGCTAGCGACTGGAAAACGAGTGAACTCGTTCGGTGTCGTACTCGGCAGCTGTCGGCGTGCGTGCGGTCTCCCGCACTCGTCGCTAGGCCTAAGTTGTCATCGGGGCTCCGTGGATGGAGCGGCGTTGCTCTACGCCGCGCTGCCAGTGACGTAAAGTACTGGGGGCCCTCTCGCTTTCGCGCTGCGGGTCAGTCCCAGACACGAAGCTTTGAGGCTCTCCGGCGCGGGCCGCGACACCCGAACAGACGTGTGCTAAGCTGTAGACGTCTGTTTTTTCGTTATTTTTTCCTCAGGCGCGTAAAAGCCGAATTTGTAAGCTACGACACTAATTCATCACATAAGTTCGTCCAGGTAGTGAATCTTTGTACAAATAAAAAAAACAAAAAAACTTGCCGCACTAAAAAATAAAAAAGAAAAGCTCTTTGGGCAGTCATTTTCTTCTCAAGGCTAGAAAAAGTTTTTGTGGGTGTAAAAGGAAGACAGAAAACGTTAGCAAGGTGAGAACACTTTCTTTCCCTTCCGCATTCCGACCCCCACCCACAACATTTTTTTTTATTGGAATACATAGGATATTAAGTTTTCCTTTGTAACTTTTGAGTAAGGCAAGTGTTTTTTTTTTCATTTTTAAATATTATATTTACCTCCAGCCTAACTCGGGTAAATCAGAGAGTTGTAACTTACAAATCCGAACTTTCGCGATTTCTTTAAAGTCCCTTGTGGTATTCACAAGCGCAATGTTAATTAATACTGCTGCGTAACGGGTTCGAACGATTGGGAGGCGAATGTTTATATCGCATGAGCTCACGCGCCGGCAGTTCGCTAGTAGTCGTTACGGACCTGAACACTACGCACGAGATTGCGTAGTAAACAAGCAGTGACGCAAGCAGAACATGGTTTTCCTTTTCATTACAAACTTCAGTGTTTGGAGCTAGTTAGTGGTTGTACTCTACATGCCCACCATTCCCCATTCAACAGACATTCAATGGAGCGTGAATGCTCAATCTTCAACACTGCACTTGACAATGACTGTTTTTGTTTATTGATCAGGACACTTTTATCATGTTTACCTTTTCTGTACATGTACGATGGGCAAAGAGCGACGGCACGGCATCCTTTTTAAGCCTCTACCCCTTCGCTGACAAGCCACAAGCAACCAACACCTGTGGGTTTCGTTCGTAACTCTCCGGCAAAAAATGATCGGAGCAGAGCTTCGATCTGGGGGTCGGCGTCCAAGGCTTTCCAAAGTCCACTCGTCGAACAGCGTTCACCCACACCTTCTTCAATTCCCGATCCGTTGGAAACTTGTGAAAAAGCACCCCCGGGTTGCGCAGCGGGTTGTTTGAGCAGCCCACAGCGCTTTAAGTTGTACTCGGCATCTTTCGAGGAACAGCTGGGCAGTCTTGGGCGCACCGAGTTGCTCGCTAAAACGAGTCTAGGAGTCCTCACAAGCAAATAAACAAAAGGCTATACCGAAGCTACACGGGCTACAGGTGAAAGCAACGGCTAAACACGCAATCACAAGCCGAAGTAGCGGTGGTAGCGGCACAAGGAAGCGCGCGCGACGGCTGCGCCGTGCGCCCGTCCGGAACGGAGGAAAAAAAGAGAACGATGTTGACATCATGGCCCAATGTTGCTTTAGCGATCGGCAACCCGCTGGCCGCCCGCTAAGGAGCAGCGGCTCGCGGCGGGTCGCATTTTTATTGTGGGTATTAGTTGAGAATGCGGCGTCCCACGGACGTGAAATTTTGGCTGGGGTCGTATTTTGTGTCACCAAAGCGATACCAGTATTTTAATTCATTTTGAGTTTTGGCCGGAGTTGCCCTTTAAGGGGTTTATTCAGTTGCAGCTCTGGATCATCCATCTCTCGAAGTGGCGCTCCTTGAGTACCTGAGCGTTTGCAGGTGCACGTCTAATGCCACAATGGGAGTGCCACCTACTTTGATCCTCCATGGTCATGTTCGTCGGTCCTGACTGGACATTGTGGGGTTCCCTTCATCGGGATCCTGTGTGAACCCTGTCCTTGTTCTGGCCAACCTCAGAACCCGAATGCAGCAGAGGCAGTTCTACTAAAAGAGCGACACGGACGACAAGCCATACAACTTCAGGCCTGGTAACATTGTCGGGGTTCGCAAGCCCAACATCTTGAAAAAAGGGGCACCATGCTGTACAAAACCAATGCTGATCATGGACACCCGTGAACCAAGGTCTGAAATCCTGAGCGACAACCGCATCCGGAACGCGTCGAAGCCTACGGGTTGCGGTGATGTCAAGGGGGGGAAGGGGGGGTTCTTCCCCTCCCCCTCCCCGCCCCCCCCCCCCCCCCCCCCCCGATACTGCTGTGGCTCCAGTTGTTCCTTTGTTCCTGAGGCATTAGGCGTTCCTGCGGTTCCAGCCGCCATTGCAGTTCTATTCGACCCTGCAGCTGAAGTCGCCCCTGAAGCTTCGTCCCAGGTCGTTACAAGACCGCCATCGCAACGAAGAGGTTCTGCCTTGCTAAAATATTTCGTGTGATTACTAATATTGTTTTGTTTGACCACTTTTATTTCTAATTAACTCAGTTCCTTGTTCTGTGAGGTGACAAATATGTTGTGTCGGCAACAATGGGCACTGTGTTATATATAGGTATTTCATCGCCATTGACGTAAACAGCGGTATTTTTGGGGACTTCAGTGTTTCCGTCTTCGTGCTCGATTATTAATTAAGGGCCGTTATGAAAGCGGCCAGGGCAATCATACGGCACCCGGCGAGAACTTCAACGTGGCTGGTGTTTTGAAGCGATCCCGCTCGTTTCCGCGACTTCCCTCCAGCTTGAATTATTGCAGCCTAAAAAAAAATCACCTTCCACAGCCAGGAAAAAGCAAGATGAGTCTCCGTAAGGGCAACGGGGTGCGCGTAATTCACAAGCACGTGCCGGGACGTGGCCTTTTTTTTTCTCTCGACTTCTAGATTGGTCGTTGCAACATTCGGTTAGCGCTGCCGTTTTGGAAAAAGTTGAGCACGGCTCTACTCACTTGTGATGCGTCACAGTGGGCAGGGTGAAGGCGCGCCTCGTAGCGCGAGCCACCGTTCCCTGCCGAAAGGGCGGCGCTCCGCACTGATGCACAAGCGCGCTTAGGTCTACTTCCCTCCCTGACTTTGTATGCTTATAGGTCACGTGACACGAAGTCATGTGACGTCATTTTTTGCACTATATACATTTAGCGGCCAAACTACATTGGTGTCGGGGTCACGTGACGTCAATTTCTTCACCAAATCTAGCGGGAAAACTGACGTCATTTGATGTTACAGGCCACGACTTCACAAAATCCGGCTTCATGAAATCCGGCGCAATTCAACAAAGAACATTTCACCTTGTGTTTTTTTCCGATAATTTTAGATGGGAAACTGAATTTGCTGTTGAGGTCATGTGGCGTCAATTCTCATTCTAAGTCTAACGGGGAAACTGTAGTTATATAACGTCACAGGCCCCGGCTTCGCGAACTCCGGAGAAACTAGCCAGAGAACGTTGATGTGTAGGTCACATGACATATCACGTAACCTACACACAAAATTAAGTCTTCCCGCAAGATTCAGTGGCAAACTTGACCTCACGTTACCTCGACGTCAATTCGGTTTCCCCACTAGGTTTAGCAGGAAATTTGACGTCATGTGACCTGAACCCAAATTCAGTTTCCCCGCTAAATTTGGCGGGATAACTGACGTCACATGACTTCGTGTCACGTGACTTATACACATGTTCAGTACCCCGCTATATTTAGTGGGAAAACTTATGTCACGTGATCTAACGCCAATTAAATTCACCGCTAAATGTATCGGAGAAAATGATGCCCCATGAGATCTTGTCACCTGACCTATATATAAATTCAATTTTCCCGATAGATTTAGCAGGAAAATTGGCATCCCACGGCCGTAACGCCAATTCAGTTTCCCCCTAAATGTAGCGGGAAATATGATGTCACATTACCTTATGTCACGTGACCTATACACAAATTCAGTTTCCTCACTAAATTTAGAGGGAAATTTACATTGCGTTACACCGACTGCACATCGGTGCAGCCATGAAATGCAGCTGCTCCTATTAGACAAATTCGGCTAGCAAATTCTGTCACGCACACTCGAAACTCGGAGAAAAACTGTCAAATGTACACGCAGTGCGCGCTACTCTGACGAAGAGCGCCGTGATAGTATCGGCTAAACGTTTGTGACGCTAGAACATTTCATGTGCGCAATACAATTGCCCAGTAATTTGCTTTGTTCGTTTCTTAGTGACGACTGTACATCAATGCTTACTCTTTTAAAATCCACTCTTCGCACTAGTATTCTTATTTTCTATTAAATTAGTTCGGATCCGCGCAGCGAAGCGGCGGGGCATTACTTTTTTTTCGTTGACCTCCCCGTAGATGTCATACTCGGCCGGAAGTGGCTCTTGCGTCGGAAAAGCTGGAACAGCAAGAGACACGCGAGGACAGAGTAAACAAGAACGCTTCGGTGCGCGGGCCACTGGCCTGCGAAAGAAAATAGAGCGCATCGATTTATCGCTTCCCCGTTTAGCTTGGACAAAACAACCGCCGTCGTCGACACTGAAACGCTCGGTGGCACTCTGTCGTCCAGTTCTCACCGGCAGATTAAGAAACCAAGGGAGTGACGAGTCTCGTGGATCTCATTATCGCTCAACGATCAATCAGATTGCGGCATGGGTTGATGAGAACACCGGATAATCAATCACGAAGCACGACTATGGTTGCCTGGAACGCGTCTACGTCTGGTGCGTTTACTGCGTCCAAAGAAACGTTTAAGAAGTGGTCCCTCGACTTTCGCCCGATGACGTCACAGAAATGTCATGCTGGCGCCGGTCGCGATCCTTGCGGTGTCCCAGCAGTGGTGCTGGATGGGGCAGATGCCTGTTTCGCTGCAGGTAGCTCTCCAGCGTGGCAGTCCGAGGACGTTTTGGCAGCCAGAAGTCTGGACGCCGCGACTACAGCGACAATCGTGTTCGCGCCTGCTTTGTGCGGGTATTTCTGCGACTAACAGCCAGAAGCGCGACATCCGACAGCAGGGCACTCCGGCTTCTGTTACGTCATTTGTTGCCACTTTGGCGCCGTTTTCGATGCATGAGCGGGATAAAACGCTAAACAGACCTATCGGAGACGCGCTCCAGGAACCATAGCAAGGCGCATGAACAGAATAAGCGACGCCCCCTTTCATTTCAGGACCTGTCAGTGCCCGTAGGCCGTAAAGGGGAATTCACGCGAGAGAGAAATTCCGGGGATTTCTCCGCGGCACGCGCACCCCGCGACGAAAACGTCAGGCTTTGCGATGTGCAAAAGCCTCGCGTTTTCATCTCGTGATGCGCGCGTGCCCGGGAGAAATCCCCGGGATTTCTCCCTCTTGTGAATACCCCTCAACGAGAGGGCACGTCAGCATGAACAGGTTAGCACCACCAGGGCCGGTTTGCTCATCTTGCGGCCGCGGCCGCGGCTGCGGCCAAGAGGGATTTTTATGTCACGTGACCAGCTCCATGGGGACATGGAAGTACCTAGCGTCCCTGCCTAATGCAGGAGAAATCCGTATCGCTTCAAGCACAAAATCCTAATTTCGCTCGCTGAAATTGACTACAGGGATTTTTAACTGGAGTCCAATTGACCACCCCAGTATACTGCAGGAGCGGCAGGTAAAGTTACGGCCAGGCAGGGTAAATACGAGCCAAAAAAAAAGAAAAAAACCACGCGAGATAAAAGCAGTGGCAGTATATCTTTATACCTCCGCCAGCGCCGGCGGCTTGCGCCTTCTGCTGTGGCCGAGAGGTTAGAGCGCCGATAATTGACGTAGCTGCATCACGCAGCGACGTGAACTAGCAGCGATTTCCTGGCGCGATTTGAACTCGGGACTGTCACAGTCCCGGGTTCAAATCACGCCAGAGAATCTTTTTTTTTCTCTTTTTGTATTTGACTACACTCCCACTAAGAATGTAGACAAGGCCCTATGAGCTCTATAAAATCATTGGGTGTGTAGTTCTGACTCACCACTTTCTTGTTGATGACCTCGGAAGAGCGCATACATGTCTCTGGTCACATGACCAAAACCAAACTGGTGATCGCTATGGCAACAGAGTCCGATCAGCCAATCCAATTGCGAGGTTTCAGTCACCGGTAGTTCAGTGTATACTTTCCCAGGACCAATTTACTTTAGCTCAAACCTTGACCGAAATCGTGCCCCCGAGGTGAGTTGCATCTTATCATAGTCACCACAGTTATTTCCAAACTAAAAAAAACGCAGAACGTGGTTTAATATATTCGTGCCTGTTGCTCCGTGTTGTTCGGCGTCCTGCTAGGCTAATGGCGCCATCTCAATGGCCGTAGAGCGATAATAAGATGTTCGGTGCTGGCCCCGCCTCGTGTCTCTTAAGCTGGCAGTGAGAACTGTCCAAGTAGAACAAGGTTTGATCAGCCTCGATCATCTCGGGGTCATCTAACAACACTTGAGATCGCAGTGAGGATCGGGCGCCAGTTGAGGAGAAACTAATATCGCCATAAATTCGCCGCTCTCTAAATACGTTCAAAACTTGATCGGAAGGCCATCGTAACGCACTCCTAGGTTTTGAAGAGCATACACTTTTGTTTCTCATGAATTCTGGCTTTGTAGGCACGGAATAAAACCTCGGCGTAGAACGAATTATTCAACACGTCCCGTTCAATGTGGCGTATGCACTGTTTGTTATTGCGCGATGTTGGCACAAAGTTAAAAGCCTAAGTTTTTCGTAATCATAAGTGCATATTAAGTAAACTCCGCCCCCCTTCCCGAAACCGTCGTCCAGGCATATTGATGTTTTGAGCGAACGCATGCTGCATGTCCTGGTTTGCGCTTGGTGAAAGGGTGACGTAGTACACTCTCAAAAATGTCTGCGAGTTCATGTTTCTAGTGAACGTAAAGACAGCCATTCGAGGCAAAAATTAGAAAAATAAAATATTTTCAGCGGATAACAAATCTGTGCATGTCGCAATTTTGTTTATAATTCTAGTCGCACTTTGCGTTTTGGTATTCGACTTGATCCTTGAATCGTTTATTGCGATCCACTAAGCTAGTTTGACTGACCTGCACCTCCTGCACCGGTGCAGTAAAGTGTAGAGTGATGTACTTCCGGTCGTATCTGAATACACATACCGGAAGTACGCTGACCTTCACTTTTCTGCACCGGTGTAGGAGGTTTAGGTAAATCGAACGAGCCTACTGTATCCGTGTTGAGCTTACTCTAACAAATCTGGGGTTTCATTTTGGTCACCGCAAGAGCGAGCCCGAGCTCTAATTGTCCCATCGCGGCGTGAGCGAAGATAGCTTTCGCAGACGGTTTGTCTGCTAACGCGAGTGAAGAATGCGGTTCGTCTTCTACGAAGCGTCACTTGGAGGCGGAAAGAAAACAAGTAAACACTGTACGTCGTCTGCTAACAACCCGGAAGAAAAACCTATCGTCTGCTAGAAATGGAGCGCTGCAGAGAAGTGAGACCGGACGCAAGTTAAAATTCTGGCCGTCTATTCTTTCAAGTTGAAAATCATAGATAACCCTCGCTACGTTTAGAAATCTCAAGTTATTCTGCAACCGTGAGTGAAGGCGTACCAAGGACAAGCACATGAGAAGCCGTGAGATTTCTTCGCTATTTGTGAGTTGATGAGACGTTCTCGCCAAACTTTGGCACTATTTTAAACTTGCGAATGCGCAGCGCAAGTTCTTCTGCTTCTTGCGCAGGCGTTGCGGTGGTGTCAGAAGACCTAGTTATGATTGGATCTGATTGTAAGAATAATGAATAGACCTCAAAGCTAGCTGCCTTGAGGTCTAACCACAACCCTTCCAATCTGGGCAAATCAGAGCTTTGCGTTCTGGCGTCAGCGCAACTGCGCAAGAAGCAAACCAACTTGCGCTCCGCATAGGCAAAAAAATGCCTCATTGGTGGATTACGGGCAAGTTGCGTCGACACGTCCAATTAGCAGCCGAGAACACACGCGCTTTCACCTCGACCAAAATCAGCGCTTTGGTGCGTCTAATTTCCACAAAAAAATAAAAAAAAAACTGGTGAAAGTCATTTATTGTAATCCACATATGATGTAGCAATTGACTAGTGTTTGGGGGACAAATTGACGCACCAGATATTCAGGGCACAGGAAAGTGAACGCTATGACGGTTTTTCGTTTTGTTTTTAGAGTGTAACGTAATGCAACGTACGCTTTGAACTAGTACAAGCAACTCAGAGGCCGCAGTGGACACAAATATCCCAGATTGTGGCTTGGTGCCAGTAACTATATTTTGTCTCGCCCTGCCTTGATCCACAAGCACAGCTATAAGTAACGAGGCTCAATCATGAGCCAGTTAAAAAAAGTGAAAGCCGTTTACAACTCCCTCTAATGCCGAATTAGAGCGCAGCTCTTGAGGAGGAGGAGGGAAGGGTACTGGGGGGGGGGGGGTCAAGTGACCTTGGGTGGGGGTCACGTGACCTAGGGGGGTCACGTGACGATGACGATGCTGATGACGTCATCAGTAACGATGACGATGCGGATACCGATGACGTCATCAGTGATGATGACAATGACGATGCGGATGCGTGATGACGATGACGATGCGGATGCCGGTGACGTCATCAGTGACGTCACTGATGACGTCATCAGCGATGATGACGATGCGGATGCCGGCGACGTCATCAGTGACGTCACTGATGACGTCATCAGCGATGATGACGATGACGATGCAGATGCCGGTGACGTCATCAGTGACGTCACTGATGACGTCATCAGTGATGATGACAATGACGATGCGGATGCCGGTGACGTCATCAGTGATGATGACGATGATGATGCGGATGCCGGTGACGTTATCAGTGACGTCACTTTTGACGTCATCGGGATCACGTGACCCCGGGGGTCACGTGACTTGGGGAGCCACGTGACTTTGGGTGTCACGTGACCTTGGGGTGACCTTGGGGAGTCACGTGACCCCCGATAACCCTTGGGGAGGGGTCACGTGACCTTGGGATGACCTTGGGGGGTCAAGTGACCTTGGGATGACCTTGGTTACGCCGACGGCGACGGCGACGGCGACGCCGACGCCGCTCAAGCCGGGAACGGGCCCCTAAGAGCTGCGCTCTAAAATGCAAATGAAAGCCGTTTACAACTCCCTGTAACACCAAATTAGAGGGCAGCTCTTGAGGAGGAGGAGGGAAGGGTACTGAGGAAATGGTATACCCCCTCCTCTCTCCCCCTCACCTCCTCCTCCTGCCTGCTACTCCTCCCGACGAGTGGCGTCGGCGTAACCGTGAGGTCACGTAACCCCCGTGACGTCACGTGACCCCGCGGGGACGTTTCGGCACGGTGCCGAAACGTCACCCTGCCGAAACGTCGCCGCGGTTACGCCGACGGCTACGGTGACGGCGACGCCGCTCAAGCCGGAAACGGGCACCTAAGAGCTGCGCTCTAAAAGAGGTACATTGCTACGCCATGCACATCCGTGTCCCCAGAGGTACAGAGTAATATGCAAATCAGAGCCTATCACTGCGCTGTAGACCACGTGTTTTTTAACTGGCTTGTGATGGGATCGCTGCTCGTTCGTATTGTATTTTTGTATTCTATGGTATGGCTGGACCATGTGTGGGTCTTTTTACAGCGCAGCTCTTAGGCGCCCGTTTCCAGCTTGAGCGGCGTCGGCGTCGCCGTCGGCGTAACCACGGGTTATGAGGGTTACTCTCACGAGGGTTACCCTCACGAGGATCACAAGGGTTACGCTCGTAACCCTCGTGAGAGTAACCCTGGTAACCCTCAAGAGGGTTACGAAGGTTAGTTACCCTCAAAACGGTTACGCTCCCGAGGGTCACGAGGGTTACCCTAACGAGGGTCACGAGGGTTATGAGAGTAACCCTCACAGGGGTTATGAGAGTTACCCTCACGAGGGTCACGAGAGTTACCCTCAAGGGTCACTAGGGTTATCCTCACGAGAGTCACGATGGTTACCCTCACGAGGGTTACCGTCATGAGGGTCATGAGGGTTACCCCTTATATCACGTAACCCCCCGAAGTCGCGTGACCCCCTCAGGTCACGTGACCCTCTCAAGTCACGTGACCTCCTGAGGTCATGTGACCCCATGATGTCAGGTGACCCCCTGATGTCACGTGACCCCCTAAGGTAACGTGATTCCCCTCAGGTCACGTGACACTCTGAGGTCACGTGACCCTCTAGTGTCGCGTGACCCCCCCCCCATGTCACGTCAACTCAGGGAGTCACCTATCCCACAGTACCCTTCCATCCTATGCCTCAGTACCCTTCCATCCTCCTCCTCAAGAGCTGCGTTCTAATCCAGCGTTACAGGAAGTTGTAAACGGCTTTCATTTTTTACTTTAAAACACCCCATAAAGTCAACGACGGAAAAAGAATGGTGGGTTGAGAAGGAGAGCTGGGAGGGGGAGCAGTTTCAGTACTTTTTACTGATTATATAACCCAGAGAAAGAAAATTTGAAAACCGCCTGGCATTCCTAAAACTTTTTTGCGTCAAATTCAATGTCTTTAGAGGCAAATTTTTTAAGATCTACTCTACATATCTGTACCATCTTCTTGTCCTTGGCTCTGAACGCTTTCGTTTCTTTCTTCTTCGTTGTCGGCAAGATCTAGGAGGAAACGTGGAAGGGTGTTACCAATTAAAAATCTAGTATATTATACGTCGACACGAATGCATACCCTGATCATAGCTTTGAGGCATACATTGATGGAAATCTCGAACACTTCGGAGAAGTTAACGGGGCCTGTGATATAATTATTCTATAATTAATAGTTATATAACGGGCCGCGGTAACTTCCCCGAAGTATTCGAATTTTGCATCGATCTATATATATATATACACTCTAAAAAACGTCTGTGTGTCTGCTTTCACGCACCACACTCGGAGAGCCAATCATCTCAACTTACAGAGTCAGATCAGCCAATTACGATACCGAAACATATGTTTAGACCAAAAAACGCAGTCTGAGTTGTGACATTAAGCAATGCAAGCGTGACGTTTTGCATTGCCTAATGTAACAACTCAGACTGCGTTTTTTGGTCTAAACATGTGTTTTGGCATCTTCATTCGCTGACATTCCTTCGTAAGTTGTGGTGACTGGCTCTCCGAGTGTTGTGCCTGAAAGTTGACGCACAAACTGTTTTTAGGGTATATATATATATATATATATATATATATATATATATATATATATATATATATATGACATCTTCAAGTTGTGTGGCGCCGAATGCGTTCACATATATAAATAAAAACACCGACGTTGAAACAAACTTGTATAGTCAATCGGACGTTTCGGAGGGGGACCCTCTTTCTTGAAGAAGGGTCCCCCGCAGGAAGGTATGATTAAACTATCCAAGGCTGTTTGAACTCCAGTGGCTTCTTTAGACACACACACACACAAACACACACACACACACACACACACACATATATATACAACGGGCATGGTGGCGCGAGGCCGAAGGCGTGGGAATATAACTGAGAAGAAAAACCCTTAGTGAAAACAGCAACAACGGACGATTTAATCTTCGACGTTTCGAGCGGAGTCCGGCCTTCGTCAGGAAGCCGACGAAGGCCGGACTCCGCCCGAAACGTCGAAGATTAAATCGTCCGTTGTTGCTGTTTTCACTAAGGTTTTTTTTTTCTCAGTTATATATATAACACCCTAAATACGTGCCTAACGTATATGATTCGACTACTTTACATGTTTATATTAGGTTGCATGTTGCAAGCAAACATTTGCTGCTGATCGCTAAAGTAGTTTTTTTATTTATTTTTTATTCAGGAATGCTAGAAAATATTATATAGATCTTTGGGAAATTCTGCTTGACACATTAACTTTCAAAATGTTGTTAGTCGAATTCGAAGTCGCCCGCAACAGAAATAATACGGAGCACCACGTTCTGAACAAGCTTGTGCGGGAGCCCACAAGAACCGTCTTTCGCAGTCTGCTCCTTTACCCGTTTACTTTTTTCTATGCGGTCGTAAAAGTGGGAAGAGGAGGAGACAAGGTGGGACGTCAGAACGCCGAGCTCAGGTTGGAATGATTGGTGGGTAGACGCCATGCTAGTTGTCCTTGTCTGCACTGCTATAGCCTCCTATATACTGACAAAGCCTGGCAAATCGCCACGAGAAGCGGCCACCGAAATGGAAAAGGTGGAGCGACAGACAACGGATGAGAGGAGGGCCATGTTACTGGCGCCCCGCTGCGGCGAGACACCGAAACACACTTTTCCCGAGCGAACAAGTGTGTTTCGGGTCCGCACCGTTGCTAAAGCTGTGCGCTGACTTCCAGGTTCCCCGAGAAGCGGCTCTTTGATGCTCCCTGCTACCAAATTCTCGCACTCCAAATTTGCGACTGGGCACTCTATGGTTCCGTCGTTGAACTTCCAGGATTAGTCAGTATAGAGGAGGCTATGGCACTGCCCTCGTCGTACGCGTTAGAACGCGGAGCGCCTGCATTCAAAGTTTTTTAACAGTGCTGTTGAGACAAAAGATGGCATTGTCTCCACTGCACTTGTGTTGGAAAGCGTTCGACGAGTGCAGTAGAGAGAAGGGCGGCTAGCTTTGCCTCTATCCACTAATAATTCCAGCCAAACTCGGCAAAGTCAAGTCCCTGCACGCTATCGTTTTCTCGTCTCTCTAATTTTCTGCCCATACAGTCAATGTCAGCTTAATAAACGCGTGGTGTCACTTATTATGCTCATACTTCTTGATATTTCACTCGTTCTTTGGCATTTCGATCATCAAGCCTGCAATCATATTGGCTATGAAGCGTTGGTAAGCGTCTATAAGTGTCCGTGACTAATACACCTAGGCGGTAGCTGCTGTTCACACTGCACGAAACTAAAGGCATTGACGACGTGGCGTCTTGTTTTCCTCGGCATAATTACATATCTCATTTTCGCCAGTTGAATGCAGTTTTAACTAGCTCTACGGCATTCTTTTTTTAATGCACGACCCCTATACCTACGAGTGAAGTACATGTTCATTAATGTAACACTTAACACGAAGCCTTCCAGTATATTTATTTATGTGTCGTCGTTAAAAACGAATGCCAGTTCATACAGCAACCGGCACCATTGCGATTCACCCGATAGTAATGACAGTCAGAAGACCTGAGAAAAACGTAACCTGATATTTTCTTGTACCTTTTAAATATATTTGACGAATAATTTGGCAGGTAAAAATTTAAAAAATAACCGAACAAATCCTTCGACGCTAGCCTCAGAAAAATTTTCAACAATCGAAATTCGGCCAATCGAACACATGGACAAACTTTCATATGGCTCGGCATTATACATAGAATAGCATACACTAACGTGTGCGTCGTTAAAAAAGTACGCTAACTTTTTGTATAATCAACAAACGCCCTGTTTTCTGTCCCTGCAACAGAAGAGTCTGAAACAAATATTTGTGCGCTATGACAACATAAAAAATGTTACACGTTAAAGTAAAGAAGCAAACTAAATTAGATAATCGTAATAAAATAATGGCACATTAATTGTTAACTTAAACGTATAAGACAAATGCCCGCATGTAGTACCATTGAGATTATCACACAATTTTAAAAGATCAAGCTTATAAATATGCAATTGCAATTAAAAAGACAAATAGTGACGTATTGGAGTTTATAATTTCTCAGGATTTTGACAGTTAAAGTTTTTAAACTGGTAATTTCAACTAAAAGGACACATTTTGTGTTTGCAATTGAACCACAATACGCGACCGCCTCCGCCGCGAAATCTTTTTTTAATACAAGGTAGGTGAAACATACACCCTATATGGGGTGTTGTTTATTTCTACGCGCGGTGGTAATGTCTTTTATAGCTTGGAATTTCATTCCTTTGTGGTCTGTTGCACCAAACAAGGAAATCGGTAATATATATGAGCGTCGTCTGTTACTCAATAATTTTACTACCTTTGACTATTGAGCCTGTGGACGATCAAGTGGTAGAGCAATTATCACGTAATAAACATTTGGAATAGTCAGGGTGATATCTACAAAAATAAAGTTTTGCGACCAAAATACGTTATTGATTGTGGTAATGAGTTTTGACTTAAGCTGTGCCACACGTTATACTCCTCAGATTTACCGCAAACAAGATGCTAACAAACGATCGTCTTCCTCGACCCAGGTTTCGTACTTAGCCAACAGTTATAATACCGCTTTTAGGTGTCTTATACATGTCTTTTGTTAACGGTGTCCCCGTCGCCCCTTCTCTTGTTGCTTCATCAAACTTCAGTTGTCCGCATTAACAAACACGAAAGGTTCAACTAGTTTAACTAAAGCCCCCAACACAATATCTAGTAGAGCTGCTCACAGTTATTTCGCTGGGGTCAGATTAGGTTCACCAAATTAATCGACAAGACAAAGCAAGACCGGTAGGTTAGCCTAACCTAGCCTAACCTAACCTAACCTAAACTAAACGGGCCTAACCTAAACTAACCTAAACTAACCTAACCTGACCTAACCTATTCTAACCTAACCTAACCTAACGTAACCTAAACTAACCTAACACAACGTAACCTAACCTAACCAAACCCAACCTAACAAAACAAAACAATCGATATTGATATAGGCTTTTGGCTTTACGTGAATGCGGGCGACGCAAAAAAAACAGAAAGTGTACAAACAATGTCGCACTGGCATTCCGCCAAAATGCCTTTCGAAATGTATCACGCCACGATAATCATTTTCTGTTAAATTTTTAGTTTGTCTCCTCAATCACTGAACTGAGCTAAAAAGAATAATGTCGGTCACAAATTGTGCTGAAGTTTCCGCCTTGCTACAGAACGTAACCATTGAAATGGCGATTTTCATGGAAACAAGTCTCCAGCAAGTGATAATTAAATCTGAAGAGTGCACCAAAAAAAGAAAAATCGCTTTATTTCTACCAACCAGATTATAGTCTTGTACAACGAGGTTTGTCCCTTGGAGCCTTCCTTGTGGAGAAAATGGATTAAATTCTGGAGAACTCGCTCTTCCTTCTTCCAACTCTGACGCGAAATCCATTGCGAAATAAACGTGCTACGCGTTCGATGGTGCCCAAGAAAAACATCTTGGGCACCATCGAACAGTCTGAATAAATTACCCTCGTCTGCGTCTGTATTAAGGAAGATATAAAGGTATAATCGAAGGTTCGCCACTGGTTTGTTTTATTGAACAAAGTGTTTTGTTTGTTTTTTGGGGTGGGGGGGGGGGGGATTTGATACATGGCGCGTTTCTAATAGTATGGAAATGCGCCTGTTTCAAATGCATTTCTATGGTCTAGGAACGCGGCCTTTGTCAAATACCGTAAAAACACTGTGTTCAGTAAAATAAAGCAGTGTCGAATCTTCGAGTTTTCCTGGGTGACATACACTGCGATCCCGTACAATGCAAGTTTCCAAGCAGAGAGGCATGCTCTACTTAAGGACGTGCCTCTTCCGTGTTGCAGCTGATATTTATTTAAACAAACGGTGCAATCGCGATCGTAGCACTTACTTCGCTTAACCAATGCCACGCAGTGTTATTATTCAGCATTGATGAAAACCGCGGGCGCTCAATCATGTCGCACTCAGAGAAAGCGGCCCGGCATGACACTTTCGCGCGATGGACGACA